ATTTTCCCGGGTTATTAGTTTAATAGAAATTGCTTTTTAGAACGTGCGTCGAGGTCCTGCGTGGCGTCTCGTGAATAAATTACGACCATGGTGTCGCGAGACGATGAGACGCTGCTTTCAGCGAACACGGTCGCCCGCTCGTTCAACTTGACTCGTCCTTTTATCAATGGAGAACGAGGAAAATTTGTCGTTGTTTTTAATTAGAGAAAGACCGAGCTTTCCACTCGACTAATAGATTCATCTAAACAGCCACTTTTGATTTAAAAAAGGCATCGGTGCTGGCGCTACAAGCATCATCGAACGGGTGTGCGTAAATTGCACCTGCTCGGCAACCTGCAGTTTGAAATTCCAACCCCTTCGCTTTTAGCTACCGACAAGCCAGCCAGCCAGCCAGCCAGCCAGCCAGCGAGAGCCAGTAAATAGTCAATCGGTCCCGCGATTTTCTCCCCGGGCCGGAGGAAAATAAAGTTGATCGAGGGATTCCATTCTCGGCCGCGAATCCTTTTCTCATCGAACCGATTTGTACTTTTCGCAAGCTCGTGAACTATCGCCAGAAGCAACCGAGAGATGGGAAGCGAGAGGGATGAGAGAGAGAGAGAGAGAGAGAGAGAGAAGGGGGAGAGGGAGGAGTCGCCGGTAGTCATTTATTCGGATTGCAATAACTACACGGGGGCGGCGAGATGCACTCTCGCGGAAGCAGATGAAAAGGTTAAAAGAGAGAGGCGAAGAAAGGGGGAGGAAGAGGAAAAAGAAGAAAAGAAGTGTGTAACAAGAAGCGAGACGGAGGTGAGGGTGGGCATTGAAGGAACACCGTGGTGGAAAAGGGGTCGAGGAAGACGAGAAGCTCCGCGTTCTCCTCACAAAGGAATATTCGCATCCTGCGGCTCGCGAGACCCTCTTCTCTCTCCCTCTCCCTCTCTCTCTCTCGCGCGCGCTCTCTCTATCCTCTATCTCTCTCAGTCTACTTTCTCTTACTTTTACGCACCTTCAATTCTTCTTGAAATCTCGACGCGCGGCCGCCGAAACGGATTTCTAAACACCGCGCGGCGCGGCCCGGGGAAAAAGCTTTGAACGGTGAACGTCGGCCCATTACTTAGGAACGCGGCTCCCGTTGTTTTCGTTGCTGCTCGCCGACGTGCAGTGCAATTAATGGAACACCGTGCCTCCCGACAATTTAAGAAATTGCTCCTTCGCGCCCCTCCCCGTCGCGCGTTTCCGAAACTCGATTATTCAGGCACGGGCTTCGCAACGTCTCGCAACGCCTTCGGTCTAAACGCCGAGACTGCGCGCGGCTGCTCGCGGAGAGCTAATTGGTGCGAAAAGCATGTAATCGTACGAATCATCGCGCACATTTGCAACGTGTGCGCGAATCGTCTGCCTCCGATATGACGCCAGAGATACGCGAGTGTAGTCGATCGGCGAGACAATTTTTATGGGAAATATTTGCGATCATTGAACTGCTGTCTTTTTCTTATAAATAAATGCAAGTGAAAATTCTCTGCTGCGATTGCAAGTTATAGTGGTTGAGCAGGAAGTTGTTTCTTCTTTGAATTACTTCAGCGATATTTTAAAAACAGAATGGTATTTTTAAGTTCTTTCAGTTCTTTCAATCGTTTCGTATTTTCACCTATTTTTGCCATCAGTGCGAATTAAGGAATCGATTGAATCGTTTCTTACGAAATAGTTTTCGTAACTTGCATAATTTCAACGCGTTAGATTCGGAGTCGATATCGAGTCGATATTTAGAGACGATATCGATAAAAATGATGCACCGATAAAAAATACTGCGCGAAGAATTTGATCGGCCTTCGAAGCGGACGGTCCCCCAAGGTCGAGCTAGGTCGGAGACGAATCGCCCCGGCGAAATGGAAATTCCGGGGAAAGATAGAATTTCGCTTGCAGCGTAGGTTTCCGTTTACGACGATGATCCAGAAGAGCCGAACGAGTGCTAAGTCGGGACGAGATTAAAAACAGTAAATGCCGTTCGCCATAATGGCCGATCGTAAAAGTCGCTCGTTCCGGCGGCGTAGAAAGTCGACGGTCCGCGTTCCGCGGGCGACACTCGCCGTGGATCGCGAGCGTAATTGCGGGGCATTCTCTAATTCCGCGATTATGCTCGTAAACGTTCGTTCGCGACGACCGGAGCGCCGTCTCCCCGCAAAGGCGACGGAGTCTCCGCCGGGCTCTAATGCCACGCCGATTGCTCTTTATGCCCGTTTTCAGATTAGAAAGCGTCCTCGAGCGGAATTATGCGATCCTCGAGCCTCTTCCCCCCGCTCGCGAGAACCCCGTAGACGTCCCGCGATCTTCGCCGTCGGCGCTAAAACGACAACGAACCCCGTTTTTCCGCCGCGCCGCGTTGATTCTTCGATGAAACTCGTTCGCGGCACGGCTTCTCCACGTTTGCTGGCTGTTTAGTTGTTCGGATCGCGATTCGAACGGTTCGATTAAATTAGTTAATACTATGCCGTCCGCAGATCTCAGATATGATTCTATTGTTTGACGCCGGCGTAATAGCTTGGAAATTTTAGATTTAAAAAAATTTCGAAGATGGCGGTAATATAAATTCCTAAAATGAAGATACGTCATCCAAGAATTTTCGTACTTAATTCCTAGTTAAATGAACACAATGCTATAGTTAGTTCGCTACCTTTTAACACCCAAGAAATATAGTTCAAATGTTATTTCAGTTTTTGAAAATGGCACCAAAGTGGTACCACCGGCGTACAACAGATAGTTTTTGCATGGCACCGGCGTGATGCCACCGGACCGCACAGTGTTAAGATTTATGAACCGAAGAATATAGATTCTCAAGTTGTATTTTTATATTGTCTCCGGCGACCGGCGTGGCGCTTTACGCGTCGATCCAGCGCTACGAATAAATATCTGTTTTCTATTGTCAGAAGCATTATCTTGGTTATTTGTTGTTCTGTATGTACCGCGACTGTTCCAGAAGAATTGAATCCTTAAATCTCAGTCTCATTGAATCATCGAATCATTCTACCTGAAAGAATAAACGGAACGGAACGGCAGTCCAGGGAGGAACGAGCGACGAATCCGCGCGAAAGGACGAAGACGATATCCTCGGATAGGCCAGCAGCATCCCTCGGATTAGCCGCATTAAAAGTTGTCAAAATGGGCGGTTTCCCCCCTGGAAACGACGGGGTCGCAGTAAATGCTCGGGAGCCGGCGTGTAAACGTTCGCGCGCGCAGACGTGAATACCGTCGAAGGGGTTGCCGTGGAATCGCGCGGATCCCGTGATCGAGCAGATTTTAAGGGCGCTTAAACGGCGCCGAGGTTGCCGGTGAAATATTCTTTAAAGAGGGGGGGTTAAGTAGTGCGTGGAATGGTCGGGGTGTTCGAGGTCCCCGTCGACTTCGTCACATAGTAATGGCGATTCCATTTTCCGCGCGGCTCGACTCGGCTCGGCTCGGCTCGGCTTGGCCGCGGCGTTCCAAAGCAGCCCTGCCTCCGACCCCGGAGCCACCGCCGACCTCCGTCGTTCTGCTCGCCTACTTTTATTGGACAGTTGTTTTCATTGCGAACCTCGACACGATCCATTAAACGCCGCTGCCTACGTCAACACCGGAGCCATTAGCTTTTGTTCATCGAACGGCGACCGAGCCGCCGCGCCGCGCCGCGCCGCTCCGCTCCGCGATCGATCGATCCCCGCTGGACGTCCATGCCGCGGATGCATAAAGGATATTCGAGACGAATTCGATCCTAGACATTTTTCACGATATCGATCCGCTTGCCGCGGAAGCCCGATCCTCGTCGCTTCTTCGGAACGGCGACACTCGCAGGTTCCGTCTTTCGCTTGCAGGAAAATGTTCACGTCTTTTGGACAAGCGATTTTTATCTTGCAAGATATTGCAGCTCGACTTTTTGTAGAAAAAGATGTCCGTGGATAGATGGGATTCGCGATATTCGCGAAATTATTGAACAGAGAAGCACCTGTCCGCGTATCTCGGTAATTAACTTCGAAGTGCAGTTGATTCTCTCTGATCGACGCTCGGTTTGTGCACGAAGATGGACAATTTGGGAGCAGGGGATACGATTGTTCGAGCCTCGCGATTCCTTTTTGTAGTTACCGATTGTCGAGAACTGTAAAAACGAGCCGCGAATTGTTCGTTTCTGTTTGCAAGTCGAAGGAAAATTTGACAGAATTTACTGTTCCTATATTTGGCAATAAATGAATAAAATCCGCAGTCTGCTCTTATCGGTAACGCGCAGTTTATTTTTTCGAACGTCTTCATTCTCTCGCGAAAGAGCGACGAACGGGTCGCATCCGGTAAATAATTTCGTATCGGTCAAATAATTTGAACGCGAACCGTCCGTAACGAAGAGCTAACGAGAGGAGCGCCACCGCGAAGAATCCACGGGCGAGGCGTGGGGCCACGCATTATTCCGGGCCATAACATTTCTAAACGGAAACGAGTGGCTTTTCTCCGCCGCTTTGCCGGCGTGCCCGCGATAGGGTTATCTCCGTGCGTGCTTAAAATATTGAAGTTCCAGTAATGCGATCCATTGGGCTACAACGCCCCGGCCTGCGCCCAGGTCACGGTTTACTGGGTGACGCATGACGGATTTGCAGAGCGCCGCACCGGGATAATATTTTTCAGAGCCCGTCCGAATAAGCAGAATATTCCTCTCCCCCTTTCGCTGCCGGCATAACCGGCTTCCTAAATTTTTCAATTTCTTTCAAATATTCAGGGAGCACACGCGCGAGGATTTTCCTTCTCTAGAATATTTCTCTAGAAGTATCCCCGCGTTCGCACTCCTTTTATCTTAGCTATGCATGATTCAAACAGTTCTTTGGACGTTTAGATGCAACGCTCCGCCCGAAGATCCGCGTTGCTGAATTTCGTTCTCCGCCGCGTCCTTCTCGCGTCCGTATTATTCCTTTTCAACGGATGCACGGAGAAACCGTTGTAATTTCTGCTTCCGGATCGACGATTTTACAGGCAGATTTTTCTTTGCTAACAAATCTTTGATAACCTTGACATAACACTTTTGCTAGCACAGTGCGGAGATATTTTGTAAAGCTGGTATTAAACAATCGGCAAATTCCTCGGTGATTTAGGAAACGCAAGATTCAATCTTTGCTAATCTTGACATAACCTTGACATAACCTTGACATAACCTTGACATAACACTTTTGCTAGCACAGTGCGGAGATATTTTGTAAAGCTGGTATTAAACAATCGGCAAATTCCTCGGTGATTGGAAACGCAAGATCTTCAATCTTTGCTAATCTTGACATAACCTTGACATAACTTTGTCATAACCTTGACATAACACTTTTGCTAGCACAGTGCGGAGATATTTTGTAAAGCTGGTATTAAACAATCGGCAAATTCCTCGGTGATTTAGGAAACGCAAGATTCAATCTTTGCTAATCTTGACATAACCTTGACATAACCTTGACATAACCTTGACATAACACTTTTGCTAGCACAGTGCGGAGATATTTTGTAAAGCTGGTATTAAACAATCGGCAAATTCCTCGGTGATTTAGGAAACGCAAGATCTTCAATCTTTGCTAATCTTGACATAACCTTGACATAACTTTGGCATAACCTTGACATAACACTTTTGCTAGCACAGTGCGGAGATATTTTGTAAAGCTGGTATTAAACAATCGGCAAATTCCTCGGTGATTTAGAAAACGCAAGATCTTCAATCTTGCCCGAATTATCCTCGAAAAGCGTCGTTCTTCCTTTGAAATCGAAAGAATATTCTCAATGAATCTCGCAACGCTGATCAAAAGTCTTCCGAATACCGAATAAAATTCAACAATTGAGCCGTTTATTTTGAAAGTGGCATAAGTCACTTTACCGCAATGAAAAGTGGTGATTTTTTCATGTTTATACGAAATTATTTATACTGAGAAAAATATCAGTATCCTGAGATAACAAATACAAGTAAATCTTCTCGAAAGCTAGCATCCATATTTTGAAACGTGTTAAAAAACGCAAACCCTTAAAAATATCGACTTAAAAACAAAGCGACTTGTGCCACTTTCAAAATAAACCGGCTCAATTGTTCGACGAATCGAACGATTCGCGGTGAACAATTCTTGTGAATTTTTAGCGGTCGACGATTGTTGCGAGGCTACGTTTCGCGGACGAGCAAATAAACACGTCGGAAAGAATCTCTTTCCCGGTCGGGGGAAGCCGGCTGCAAAACTTTCCGCATTAATATTCCGGCAGGGTCGAGACGAAATAAAAATTTACGGTATCGGATGTTATACTTTTCCGAGCGTTTTGAGGCGGATCTGATCGCAAAGCAGCGGCTCTCGGTCGTCCGTCCGTTCCGGTATCGCCTTGCAGAACCGGCCGGGCCGGGTCGGGCCGGGCCGGGCCGGGCAAAAAGGAAGAGACCGAGACGAGCCGGCCCCTCGTGGGATTTTAAAATGCTGGAATAGTTCCTCCTTGCCAGTTTCCCAACTTCAACTGTCCGACTCGCTTCCTACGGCGCAGGGCCAACCAGGAATACGTCGTTCGATCCACCTGTGTACTCTATCGTCCGTCTCTCGGAGGTAACAAATACACCCGGCCAGCAACGTGCTCGGCTTAACGATATGATAATCGTAATCGCGCTTCTCCTATCCCTCGTGCAGCCGTTCGTCTAAACATTTCTTCGAGTATCTTGTTCGAAAATCATATATTGCGTTCCGTTCGAGCAAATTTCATGGTAGGTAAGACGAGCACTAATTTTTTTTATACCAGCACGTTGCATCGAACTGGAAAATGAAGCGGTTCTCTGGTGTATGATTTCTCAAATATTTCTGAAAATACCTAGTTTCAAGATTATTTAAAGATTCCGATTATTAAAAGAAATAACTTATTTTTATTTCATTTCTGTTTCTTACTGGTGAGACAGTTATCCAAGAAATTTGTTACTTGGAACAAATACTGCAACAAAGACTGCTGGAAATCCGAACAGATATATCACTGTTATTTTCATCAAGTAATCCAAAATTAACCTACTCGATTTACCATTAATAGCGAATCAGCGTAAGATAGAATCGTTTCTGCAAGCTTCGATAATCCAAGATAAAAGCTGTTCGCCGATCAGGGGAGACTGTCGAAGACGTCTTTCGTAGAACAAAGTGTAATAAGAGTCTTATCGCAGTACGAGATAGAAACGAGTGAAACTAAACGCTCCGTCCGTCGCATGACCGATACCTGCGACTTTACAAAATCAATATACAAATTGTTCCACGACGATAGTTATGAACTATACATCTCGCAATCGATACATCGGCGGTATCGATCGCCTTCTACAAATACCTAGCAATCAGCAATCAATTATTGCGTCTCTCTCTCTCTCTCTCTCTCTCTCTCTCTAATCCGTGGAGGTCACCGAGCACTAATCCGAGGAAATCCGTAGCCGCATATACCATCCAAGCTCGATATGGTGAAAAGTGTCACTGCGTAGTATCTTTTCTCAAAACGATGATTCATATTCGATTGCATCGCTTATGTAGGAAGTTTATCGTCATCGACAGTGACATTAATGGCAGTGTGACAAGAATTAAGGATAGTTGCGTAGAATAGCTACACCATCGATGCTGGGGCACCCTGTATAACAAGTGTAGGTACCGCAGCAGCTACGAGAATTGCATTTTGGAAAACTCCGGTTGGAGTTTTTGGGCCGACGGGTTTCGATTACAGTAAATTCTCCCTAATCGACGGTCAGATTGTGCACAAAAATAGACAATTTGGCAAGAAGAGGTACGATTATCCGAGCCTCGCGGCTCGATTTTATAATCGTCGACAATCGGTAACCATAACATGAGCCGTTTACTTTGAAAGTGGCACAAGTCACTTTGTTTTTAAGTCGATACATTTAAGGGTTTGCGTTTTTTAACACGTTTCAAAATATGAATGCTAACTTTCGAGAAGATTTACTTGCATTTGTTATCTGAGGATACCGATATTTTTCTCAGCATAAATAATTTCGTATAAACATTAAAAAAATCACCACTTTTCATTACGGTCAAGTGACTTATGCCACTTTCAAAATAAACGGCTCAAATCGAGCCGAAAGGCTCGAACAATCGTATCTCCTCTTCCGAAATTGTCCATCTTGCGCGCGATATGAGCGTCGATTAGGGAGAATTTACTCGAATGCCCGAGTAACAGACGCGGAACGATGACAGGCGAATAGAATAGCGTCTAGGTGGAAAGTTGGAGGTTGCCGGGTGCTATACGGTTGCGAGGTAGGCGTCTCACGGAGGGAATCTATTCCATCTGTCGGTTGGTCTGGTGAACCGTGCCGCTGATTGCCCATGGGAATAGCATCGCGATCCCGCAGATGAGAATACAGTGGAAAAGTTTCACTCCTCTGCATCGGGGATATCGTAACGCGCCCTCGCCTCGCCTCGCCGCGCGGCGCCGCGCCGCGCCGAGAATGACGTGTAATGCGTCTTTTTAAGCGGGCCATCCCGCGTGCTTGTCACGTTCACGATTCTCATCGACGTTTCGAAAACCGTAATCCCGTTTCCCCCCTGCGGGCTAAAATCTTCGAGCACGGTTTTCTTCAAACAATACGTCCTTCTCTTGAATCTTCGCCGCGTTTCTCCTTTTATTTGCTCGCCGGGGCCCTTAACGCTGTTACCTTTTTATCATTCCCCCGTTCCACGCAGCCGCGCTTTGTCTCCCGTGTGTGCTCTTCCATGTTTTTCCACTGTTTATTTATTTACACGGAGGCGTTCGCAAACATGATTTTGTTTAGATATTTTCTTCCTCCGCGGAGAGGCTTCTCTTCGAACGTCCGGCGTTCTCTTAAACATTTTATTTCGACGTTCTTTGGACACGATTCTGTTAAGTTCTTTTCTGAAAGATCGCTTTTCGAATCGTACTTCTCGTCTCCGAGCAACGAGAAGAAGCTATTCCTTCGAATAATATTATAATAATAATTATAATTATAATATTATTATATATATGATTACATATGATTATATATATATATATATAATTATAATATAATAATGATTATTATTATTCATTTATTTTCAGCGCTTACTCGAGACAAGCTTTTTCTTTCTAAATACAGCAAATNACGGAGGCGTTCGCAAACATGATTTTGTTTAGATATTTTCTTCCTCCGCGGAGAGGCTTCTCTTCGAACGTCCGGCGTTCTCTTAAACATTTTATTTCGACGTTCTTTGGACACGATTCTGTTAAGTTCTTTTCTGAAAGATCGCTTTTCGAATCGTACTTCTCGTCTCCGAGCAACGAGAAGAAGCTATTCCTTCGAATAATATTATAATAATAATTATAATTATAATATTATTATATATATGATTACATATGATTATATATATATATATATAATTATAATATAATAATGATTATTATTATTCATTTATTTTATATATAATATATATTATTATATTATTATATTATATATAATATATATATTATATTATTATTATATATATATATAATTATATTATATAATATAATATATTATTATATATATAATATATGATTATTATATTATATAATTATAATATAATAATGATTATTATTATTCATTTATTTTCAGCGCTTACTCGAGACAAGCTTTTTCTTTCTAAATACAGCAAATTCTCCCGAACTTTTCTCCAGCTTGTGAACAAAAATTAACAATTTGGCGCAAGGCTCGAATGCAATCGTATCACCTCCTCTTCCCAAATACTCCATTATTGTTCGCAAGCCGAAGGAAAATCATGGTTAAATTTACCGTGGTCCGTAATCCCGCAACTATTTCATCGATTAACGATCGATAAGATTTCCTGCTGCCGACTTCGCCCGTATCCGATCACGAACGCGCCTCTTCCGTAATCGCTGCGCCTTACACCTTCCCGCAACTTCCCATATTTCCCACGATTGTTCCGCAACAAAGTGGCCTCGACCGAACGCGACTCGTCTCCGCCGTTCTCCTCTCTTCACCCGCGTGCGTCGGATAGAAGAACAGCGCGCGCGACAAGTCCGCGAAAAAAATTATCGCGTAGATATCGTCGAAGCGTCTGTGGCCGGCCGAAGCGCGAGCGCCGACAAAACAAACCGGGAGCAAAGGAAAACAAGTCCGTCGAGCCGAGAACGCGGCGGCGGAGCCCGTGAACGAACGAGAGGTTGTATTTACGACGGAAGTTCGAACAAAGGTGCGCGCGGATTAACGATAAACAAAAACATAAATCGGCGTCGCGGGCCCGCGGCGTATTAAAACGTTAAATCGAGAGGTGAGCGAGCGCGGCACGGATATCACCGGACGGAAGATCGTTTCCGTGGCTGGACGAGAGAAAAATCGCGCGGCCTCTGCCGACCATGGGAGAACTCGAATATCCGAGCCGCGCGGGTCTATCTGTGCGCCCCTCCGGCCTCGCCGCCTCCACCCGCACGCATCTCCACCACCGTGCCGGCCATCCACCATTTCTGTCTCCGAAGGGATAAAATACTCCGAGAGCAGCAAATCCCTCGGGCATTTGCGGTGGCCATCCCGGCCGGACCGAAAACAGGGGTTGGAGCACAGGAAGGCCGATAGAGCGGAGCCATGGAAGAGGAAACCGAGGGATGCCGTGGCGCGGGTGTGAGAGTTGCCCGTTTCCATGTTTTTAATCACTTTGCACGCAGCCAATGGCATGGAACGGGGCCGGACAGGGGCCAGCAGGGTGGCAGCGGCAGGGTGGCAGGCAGGCGGCAGGGTGGCAGCGGGAGGGCGGTGGCAGGCGGCTCGTTTCGCGAAATGTTT